TATTTCACAAAATATTCCGGCAGTAACGTTTGTTTGTTTATTTAGTGTGATCTGTAGCAGGATTTTGGCAAGACTGATGTCTATCAACCTCCAACACCAACCTGTACAGCCACATTGTATCCTCGTTCCTTGAACCAGGTTGTAGAAGTGATGGGACATTCAGCTGAATAACCCGCATTGTGCACACCATCACTCACCCCCTGGTGCATCAACATATCTGTCATTGCGGCGAAATTGAAAAGTTGCGAGGTGAATAACCAAGTAATAGTGAAAATATCTGGCGCATTAGTGTAAAACCGCAGTGTCTAGATCTAGCTTCCTCTATTTGAAGGCGGACATTATTTCCATCCTCTTTTATTCTTGCATCTTGCGAATGGTTGACATACGTAATCGATGTGCACCGATTTAGGTTTCCTCATGAATCTCTGGTACCAGCTGCCTCAGTCAAACTCGATTCGATTCGATTCGATTCGATTCGCGAAGACATTGTACGCGCATGAAACCACAATGAACGTTAAAATACGACCTGTTTATACATACCGCTTCCTCCTGGAGCTAGATGGCCACGCTCGAACATCAGATTGTTCGTCTGGATCACCAGAGCGCTCCAAAGGGCTACAGAGGCAACTCATCGATTGCCGTCGTTGAATGAAGCCAAAATGAAAATGTGGTAGTTGCATGTGAAGCCCAAGATGACACATGGCACACAAGACAATGCTACGATTCAGTAACTATTACCCAGACAGTTTTGTGATCTTCTTACCCTTATAAGGAGAATGTCAATTAAGCCACTGTAGCGTCTCTACCACCGGTACGTCCGCTTCTAGTACTCGGCTCCCGAGCGGCTCCCAGACTGACTTCACCCATACTGGTATCTATGGCAAGTTGGTACGCTATAACTACAAGGTTCGGCAACGAACTCAAATCGAGCATATTACCATCAGTTAGCGACGGTGCGGATCAATAACTGACTGTCGCTCGTTTTGGAACACATTTGTGGATTCTGGATTCCGGAGTCGCTTCTCCCTTAGTTTACCAGGACTGCGTAAGGTGCAGACAAACCGCTTAGAAAATGAGACAGGTAGATCCGGAGGTGATACAACCAGCCGGATCCGTTAATCTGTCCACTATCTCCAGTTGTGATGTCATGACCTGATCTGGTGCTGTCTACTAAAAACACCTAGCACTTCCAAGGTGCAGAAAGCAGAGTGAAACGCAAGATAACACTATTTAGATTACTTTGTGTATTTGCACCCGAACCAAATAAGGCTACACCTAATGCTACTATAATTCTTTAAGGTCTTTTCATAGAAGAAGCTGAACGCCAGGGGTAAAAGAAACAGTGAGCATTTGATCGATAAGTGATTCGAATAGGTTGGAGCTGTCACTCTATCTGAAGGTACGAGGGCTGAGGTACTGTCGAGTTGTCAAAGTCCATTTAGGAGCAGTCGAGATGCCATGGTTGGGTTCAAATCACGGACCTTCCGGTCATTAAGTGCACATTTTAACAACTGAGCGATCTGGAGCCAAAAATGCTGTCATCTTGTCTTGGTGGTCGGACTTCAGCGCTGCGATGATCCTGCGGGTTATACTTCCAGGAACTCAGTTCCTAAAGGTTCAATCATGTCGGGAAGTCAAACCAGGAGCAGCCTGAAGAAGAACGAGTGTCCGTACTACGAGTAAGCGTATTACCAGGCGGTCTGAAGGTAAAGGCGGACAGTCCTATGCGGTAGAAGTGCTAAGGCAGTAAGGTGTTTCCCCAAAACGACCAGTATGTCCACATTCATGGGAGAAGCGGTGCTTCCTTCCCCCGAGAAAAGTGGGTCAAAAAAGTTAAGCCCGAAAAACTGCACACTCGACCGCCCAACTGTTGGCCGTGACCGCCTGCGCATTATTCAATATGACCGAAATACTTTCAAAAACAAAGAGTCCGGTGCTGCTGAAAAGGCTGACCATGCCATTGTGCGAACCCGGTTACCATCTTGCTTTACCCTCCGATAGATTTTGGAACAGCGACGCTGCTTCCAGCAACCAACATTGGTTGTGTTTCTTGATTTGAAAGCTGCGTTTGACTCTGTGGATCGCCAAGCACTATGGCAGTGTCTGTGGAACAAAGGTATACCTCATAAATTCTTGACCCTCATTAAGGCGCTGTACGCCGACTCCCGGGGCCGTCTGAAGGTTTACAGGAAGCTTTCACCTGAGTTAACCACATCAAGTAGTGTCCGACAGGGCTGTCCTCTTTCACCTTTCCTCTTCCACTTCGTCGCTGATATGATCATGGAAGACTCACTACCAGCGTCTAATACCTGCGGGGTCGAAGTGCTCCCTGGGCCTCCGCTCAAAGACATCCAGTACGCAGACGACATGCCTCTTCTTGAATCTGACCCCTCCGTAATGCAAACAATAGCAAATGATCTAAATAATTCTGCCTCGCGGTTCGGCATGCACTTCACACCTGCAAAGTGTAAAGTGTTACCGCAAGACTGGGTGGGTTCGCACCCTAACCTCATGCTTTCGGATGAACCGATTGTAGTAGACAAATTTGTTTACCTGGGCAGCTGTATCAGTCCCGGTGGTCTCGCGGAAGATGATATTTCCATCCGGATTGGGAAGGCCAGAGCAGCTTTTGTGAGCCTACGTCACCTGTGGCGTAGGTGTGACATCAGCTTCTCCGTCAAGGGTCGAGCTTATAATGCTGCGGTGCGCTCCGTATTACTATACGGATCAGAAACCTTGACGCTGCGCGCCGAGGACGTCAAAAGACTTTCAGTGTTTGAGTATCGATTTCTTGGGAGCATTGCCCGAATCTGGTGGGAACACCGGATCAGCAATTCTGAAGTATATGCCAGTCGGCCGACTTCCTTGAAGGGTCCTTTTCGCACAACCATGTGAAGGGTGGAAGAGAGCCAGAGGCGGTCAAACAATGACTTGGGAGCGAAGTGTGAAAGCCAGTGCCAGCAAACTCAGCTGCGCTGGTCATTGCCGTCTTCCTGGATGGGGACCCCGAGGTGGGCCACATCAATGGTTGAAGACATTGTCAGAGATGACCCAGTCGCGCCCTCAATGGCGCTCGTGCATCCAAGCTATTGCCTTCGATTCATAGCCCCCTTCCTAATCCCCCCACTTGGCAGCCGACTGACAGTGCTGGATTTATGCAAAAATTTACTATCTCCTGCCTGCAATGCGCAGCTACCTACCCCCTCTCCCAATCATCGGTGAACGAAACTGAGGCAGCTACAACCACTGTACGATGAGTACGCGGTTAGTACAGCTGACAATGGTGATAATGATGATTACGTCAGTATTGCGCGTGCCAAAGCAGAGCAGTTCCACTCATGAACTTCAACATGTTTCAGTAGCTCAATTGCGTAGAAAGCTATTGGAAACGCCGTCATACGGATGACAGACTGCTTGGAGGCTGAACAGGGACGAGTTGAAGAAGCTATGGCCTCAGTTTCAAGGGCCGTTTGTCCAGCCATCTGACTCGACTAAATGAACACTGAACATCGTCGAGATCAGATCTTACTACTGCCAGCAAAACCTTACAAGCAACTACCGACTGTGATGGCACAGGCAGATCCCTCAAACACTGGATAATCAGGAGCCTAAAGAATGAGAGAACGCTGGTGGATTTCGAAGTTCCGGTAGATGGATAAAGCATTCGCTGCAGGTAACAGCCGCGGCCGGTTTCAGTTAGCTCGACCCACCAGTCAAAAGAAGACATGTACCAGCGACACGATATGCGAGATGGAACAGCAATTCACTCAAAAAATCGTCGTCTTGAGCAATGGGCCGAAAACTCCAAAGAACAGTTCAGCTCATCATCTTCAAAACAGCCGCCTGAAGAATCAAATTGGTCTGAATGGAACATCGACACCAGCCCACTATCAACAACAGAAATCCAGTGGGAGATATCAATCCTTCGGTGCAACAAGGCACATATCCCGGATGGTCTGCACCCCGCACTCCTCACGGAAGGTGATGAGGGCCCGATGAACAACCATACTGTACATCTGGAACGGAAACAAAATACCAGCCGAATGGAGATCCTCGATCGTCATTGCAGTTTTCAAGGGCGAGAAGACGTCATGTGAAAACCAATATGGCAACAGACTGGTACCCGTCGAATCTAAGGTGCTCTCTGGCATTAAATTGCGTGGTTCGATCGATTATGGGGGAGACATTCGTGAGAACCAAGCTGGGTTTCGCCCTGGCCGAGGATGTACCGACAACATATTTACCTTTAGATAAATTCCTGAACAGCGCCATTCGTCCAAACATCCCACGTTAATCGTTTTTGATCTGAAAGCTCCTTTTGACTGTAAATCAATAGAAACTCTGACGGTGCCTCGTGATCAAAGGTGTTCTTTCCAAATTCATACCTCTTATGAGGGCACTGTATGCGAACTCCTGTAGGAGCATACGAGTATACGGCAATCCTTTGCCTGAGTTTACCACATCCAGTAGTGTACGACAAGACTAAACTCTCTTAACTTAGTTATTGCCGCGCTGCTTGAAATTCTCCGTCTATATCTGAAAATGCTCCCGGGACGTTCACTTACCGACATCGAGCATGCGGAACATAATGCTCTACATGGTTCAGATATCCAAAAAATGAAAATTTTAAACAACCCAAGAACACGACTTTAGGTTTGCTCGAGTGGATACTGAATCACAGACGCCTGTAGATCTCCATCAGATGAGATAGCTGATCGTTACAGTCACCGTCACCGGACGCGAACAGCCGCTGTTGCTGTATGTTGTGGCGATGTTCTTGACGTGTGTTTAATAGTCGTGATGGAGCTTAGACGAGCGACCTCCCCAGTTCTAACAACGTAAAAATGAGCACAGTGCAGATAATTGGTTTCCGACTTCATCGGAAGGGGTCAATATGAGTTCAGCTAGCTGTTTTTCACCGTCCTGTTGCCGTACCCTTACTAGCGCGCCAAAAAGCACGTCCGAAAAGTCATAAACTTCCTAGAAGCGCGCGGACTTACCATCTCCATACAGAAATACGAGACCCAGAACCATGAACAAAGGGTGATAGTTGAAGACTTTTCTGGGGTCTTCCCAATCGAAGCCACCCCAATATGCACCAAGCCATGCTCCAGTAAGAACCAGGCAAAGAATACCAACAGCCTGCGCACCGCGGTAGGTTAAATAACCTCAGGTTTACCTGGCAGAATATCACAAGTGCTAAAAAGACTTTTGTTGACCCTGTCATNTCCGATCGGGCATACGAATCCATCACCGAAACCGAAACCGGGCGCCACAGATTCTCAAGGTCATTACACCCCAAAAGGTTGCGGCAACTTGGAAGCACTGTTTTTTCACAAAACTCTTGCTAGTGAAATAAAACCTTTTAAGCCAAAAGGTTGCATCATTTTTTGCATGTGCTCGAACCGAGAATTACCCTCATCTGCCGTCATTTTCGAGCGATTTGTTTTACTTCATCTCCTTTCGAAATATTGGCGCACATTCAACTTTCAAGTTGTTGAGCGCAAAACTTTCGCAAGGGTGTACAGTATTCGCACAATGGGATTGAAATTCCGAAATCTGTGGTGTTACTGGAGGACTAGCCAGCGGCTAAACGCTCAATGCATTTTTCTACAAAACCCCTGCGGGCGAAGTAAAAACTTTAACGTCAAAATGTTGCACTTATTTGAATATATGCGTAGACTGAAAACCCCCCTCATCTGCCATCATTTTTTGCGATTTGTTTTAATCGATCTCTTCTGAAAATTATTCGCGCACATTCGACTTTGAACTTCGTCTGCTATGGCTTCGGAAGTGGCTTTCTTTGAGAAATTTGTGGGTGTATCGTTTTCATTGTTCACGGCATTTGAAAAGACCTTAAATGAATACATGAAGGATAACTTTGTGATATTTGGGCGTTCATCCAGTAATCTAAGCATCAACAATATTTTGCATTACGAATGGGTGTACTACAAATGCAGCAGGCGCCCTAAAAGACCAACGGTCCGCAAAGAGGGCGTCTTATGATGTTGACCTGGACCGAAACATAGGTTCCCAGCACAGTGTGTCCCGTAAGTCTGTGTGCGTCCGTGTTTTCGGGTCCACTGAGGAACTACTCGACAGCCTTGAGTCAATGTCTGACAACTACGACTAACTCTGTAGAGCGCCAGCTAGTTGAAAGAGACGAAGATGATTTCATGTGACCCATCGGCTCCGAAAAGTTTATCTGTTAATGAGGTCCTATGCATTACATGTAAGTCTCGTATTTCTTGAGAGGTGGGGTAAACAGGCACGTGAGATAACCGCTGAAGATGGCATAGTGTGAACAGGCATCTATGACAGCATGGTCGCTGCGGTGAATTTTGTGGTAAATATCTCTGCCGGTTTGTCGGCCGCCAGCCTTATGGTGATACTTCGATAACCTGAATTATATCTTCCGCTCATTTCAGGGCTTCAACTGCCAAATGAACACCCCTCACGAAGAATAAAATGCGCCTCCCAGAAGGACATATGTGAACTTCAAAACGACCAATATATCTCAAGATTCAATGACGTACATTTTGAACGTTTTCGCCGGTTCAGATAGATGGGTGCGCTCCGGCATCGTGTACCTCTAGCCGCATGTTAGCCGTGTGCGTCGGTTAGGTTCGTCCAGCTGTCCAGTGTGATCGACGTAGGCTCTATGTGGCTAGTTAGTTACGCATCGTGTACCCCTCGCCGAATGATTGTTGTGTGCGTCGGTTAAGATCGATGAATCTCGCTCGATTTCTAGCATAATTCGGAACCTATAACGAAAAACTGTAATTTGCCAGCCAACGTGCACGTTGTTTAGCAAATAATTAGCTTGCACTACGGAATTTTTACTGGCAACAAAGAATCATCCACCAAAATTTGTTTGCACGAATGCACCTACGCATATGTTGCATCTCCAAAGGCCATTTAGATTCTAAAATGTTGAGGAAATCTGTTCCGGTGGAAGAATACCTGAAAGTTATGTTCATTGTATGTGAGTCAACCTTTCCCAAAATTCGCGGTCTTTTGTCATCAGGTAAAGTATTCACAGTTGGCGGTGTTTATTGAAATGGAGATTTCGTTCACTTAAACAAATCGCCCTGGTAAAGGATTATCAATAATACAGGAGCATATACATTATACATAGACATTCTACACTATGAAGTGGCAAGTCTGAAAATGCCGTAGAGTTCGAGAAATCAATCTCATTGTGCGAATAGCCAGCGGCGGAGGACCAAGGCAGTCGCGCAATTGAATTTAGAGTACCAGCTCAAACTTTTGGGCCCCATATAGGCATACCGGTGTCTCACCGATGCTGGGAGATTATTCCACCAGACTTTTTCGCCAGAGGTGTGGTTGCCTCGGCGGACAATGAAATTTGGTGAGCTGAAATATACGAGTGTAAACTGAAATGCTTTTTAGTTTGAGCAAATATTCAACGAAGTGCAATATCCTGGAGCGAAAATTTCCACTACACTCCTATAGGTTTTGCAGTTAACAGAATTGTGCGGTTAGTGATCCCAGTTAGCCGGCTTGCAAGTAAGGTTCAACTTTTCGCGCCGAAATTCTGCTTTTCTGCGTAATTGTTTATGCCGATAATCACGCTGACTAGAAACACACTGATTTGCACATTTCCAGGGTATTTCGCTCGTCGTATTTCGCACCACTGATTTGGATTTTTTGCTGGTTTGTGAGGATGAAACACGAAATTTCCTTTTAGCCTATTTTGGTCTTCTTCAGTGTTCTTCCGGAAAGAAATAACATCCACAGAATATCCAATGCAAATTCCACCCAGTAAAATGGATCATTACCGTTTGTTTGTTTGTACTACTTAGATTTAACAAATGAGATAATTTTTTCAGCGAACTCCGTCACCACACATTTTTCGATGGTGCTCGGCTTCCACTAAGTGGGACGCTGCTAGGTGACTGCATGAATTTTGCAGCGACAATGCGAAGGACAAACCTATCGATGATTCCCTATCCCAGATATGCACAGCTAACTTGTGGACTGTGCAACGTCAAGAGATGGTTGCAGGTAAATTACCAACACGGGGTATCTATCAGTATTAAGAGTATTACGCTCCATAGGTGAAGTACCTTCAGAACGTGAGTATTAATGCACTGCACTGTCGTTATGAGCGTCAGGCTAACGGAAGTACTGGGGTCAGTTTAAATCTCTGATAAGCCTGACACGGAGCAGTTTTCAAACCCCTGGATCAACAAATTTCGTTAATCGGGAGGATTTTATTGGATTTGCAAATACATTCAGCTCTACTCCTGTTTTGAGCCCGGTGAAATTGGATTCTTCATTTGCACTAGTACTACCTTACTTCCATCTCAATCCAAAGTGTCCGGATGTCGCCAGTTCCCTTACGTTTAGAGCAATTAGGCTTTTAGTGATAGGGGCTCTGACCACTGTTTTTAAAGTTTCGATGTGACTGCCTGCCACTACTTTTCGCTATGAAGGAACACAATCCGTTCTTTAAATTTGTGCTCAGGTGGGAGTTTTCAAGCCTCAGGAAACCGTGCGACTAACGGGCGTTTCGTGCACTTTATTCCTCTGATATTTCTTTTCGGCTCAGAATTTTCAGATTTTAGGCCAAGTTCAGCGTGAGGCACGAAGTTGATTCCGCACAGACGCAGAAGCACGGAGCATATTCGGAAGTGGCCACATTTCTCAGCTGGCCCATTGCGCGGTTTGCCTTTGCAGACAGAAACCAACATTGAGTGAGTTTGCAAAATAAGCCGTGGATTCGAACTACAGACTTCTAATCTGTATGCCTTTGACGTGGATACGCGGGTAACGTGGTCAACGAGGAAAGTTGTTCGATCAACATACCGACGCTTACAAGTTGCTGGCTCTTGGAAACAATTAGTATGAGCCATAAAACCTACATCCAGGCCCGTAGCTTCCCAAGGTTTTTCTCGATAACATTGCGTTAGCGTTTGCCTTCCATTCTTACATCACCTCTAAGAATGTTGCAAGTGTCATTGAGATCAATAACCGCATTTTCTTTGTAGATTAGAGAAAAAGGACTCCAGGTGCTGATTGCTGTGGTGCTGCTCCGACGGCTAACCACAGCATGGACTAAGAACCCTCAAGTAAGTACCATATACTCCTCGGTCGTATTCTGGTGCAGTTCCAAAATGTTACACCTTACGCTTTTTAACAACCGGAGATGTGAACAGTCGAGGGGTCGCTGGATGGCTAAGCAGAAGTCTCCAGAGCTTTCGCATAGTGTTTGGATATCAAACAGACCGAAGACTTCGAGCTATCTTTCATTCAGTATCTTTCTATCTGAACGGGCGCCTGAGTAAAGGATCGAAGTCAGAGAGATGCCTGAACTGCTTCACATTATGTTGTCGAGTGCCAAAGTTTATTCATCTGGAGGAGTTAATGTACATATGTCAGCACTTAAACGCGATTATCTTAACACGGGGGTTCATCGCCCTTTCAGCACGTAGCGGAACGCGCCGCTGCAACGCGTATCCGTATGTCTTCAGCTGTTGTGTATCTTGATTGGCTCCGAAGTATGCAGCGAGTCTGCGGATGCTAGAGACGATTTATCATTTATTTCACCTAGGTGTGTTCAGCAGCAATGTTGGTCTCGCTTGAAGCACAATAAAAAGGATATTTTTGAGTCCACTAGAAAATTTCCTGGAGTGGTAGTTCAAACAAGGGGACATTCGCATAAACCTACACCATTTGACGATGTTTATTCGAAACGGTTTTATTTAAAAATTATAAATGCACCCAGCGTCTACTTTGAAGAAACTCCATATTTGTAATGAGTTTCATGCGCAATATGCAACAACTTTTGGTCGACATGTCCCTACGTATTGGCGCAGTACAACCCCGCCTGCGGTAATTTGGTTCATGAGACGTCTCTCTGTTTGTCATCCACAAACAGTGTCGTGAACGTCGGAAGTTCACGTGCTCCGGTGCTTCCATATCGCGCAAGCAACTTGGCTCAACTTGATCTGCTCGGGGGGTAGATAAAGTTTTCTGGGAGATTGGTTTCTCCAAACTTTCCTACTCCATTGTATCTGAAAGTGCCCCGTAGGTGCCTATGAACCAATAAGCGTCCTCAAAATGCAAACGTGTTCTAGAGAAGTGTGCTGACTACTTTGATGGACTAGAGCACAATACCCAG